TTTTCATTTTCTTTCACACAGCAAAGTCTCCTACCGTGCAAAATTCTCTTTGGCAGGACTCTCTAACTTTCAAAGAGTTTGTGGCCTAAGCTACTATTTTTATATGCACCTTATAAACGTATAAAGTTGACAGATGTTCCTGTGCTCTTGTCTGTCTTCAAGAATGAAATGAAAAGATTGTGTGTTGTGTTGCTTTTTTTTCTTTTTTTCTCTTTTTGTGAGTGACTTAATGTGAAGCTTCTCAAAGCAAAATATTTGAGTTTATAATTAGGCTTATAGCACATACCTGAAAATATGAATGAACCTGAAAAATAGGAATGTCAGGAAAACTTGAAGCTCATCAGAAACAGATTTCAGTGTGCTGGTATCACAAGCCGTGTCTCTGGTGGGAAGATTAATATTTCTAATATATTTCATTCTAGTTGAATTAAATTTATACTCATGTTTCTTCATTTCTTATTTTCCCTGTTCTCATTCTGATAATGGATATGAATTTTATGTAAGTCTAAATGAGAAAATCTTATCCAGTCTCATCATACTGCGCCTTTTATTTTTCCTATAAGAAAGGCAAACTTTTTTAATATTTCTTTTTCTGAACTAATTCAGCATTCCTCAATGAAATATTCAGAGAGGCTTTCTGATACGTAAGCAAGGCTTTTAGTTTATGGCTGTTATTCAACATCTTTTAAAGGTCATGAACTTTCTTTTTCATATTCAACAGATACATTTTCCATTGCAAATCTTGAATTTAAAAAGAAAAATATGGTGACGTGTAAATAGGAATTCCAAATCTTATCATCTGTAGGATTCTTCTAAATAAGTAAGGGAAGTGCACTGGCTTTTAATTTTTATAAGTGGAACAATACATCTCTCATGAGTTTAATAATGATTTACCTGTGAAGTTTTTCATAAGATTTAATTAAATTCTCTTTACAAAGCAATTGAATTTTTTTATAGAAGACAACACTTGCATTTTAAAATGTCACTTTTTCCCCTGGGCTTTAATTAAGTTTCATCTTGATGGGTCTTATATTTGCATCTTTCTTTCCATGTTCGTACTTGGAAGAATTCAATCTTCCTTGTATCCCTCAGCTTATTTTAGAACGGGCATTTTTTTTTTCTTTCAGCTGCTATGAATAGGCTTCATTTTTTCCCTTAGTCCTTACACTGGACATCCTCATTCATTTCTAAATAACATGAACTTTCTCCTATAGTGTCATCAAAATCTGGTTCCTCACCAATGTAGTGAAAGCCTGAACCCAAACTGTGCTCTAGTTGGTTCAGAGACCTGCACCTTTTGTGGTTCTGACCTTGACAATCACTTTCTCCTACGGATCACATTGCTTCTTATCTCCTCTTCTTAGCTTGTTGCTTTCAATTGCCTATTTAGTCCATTAATGCACACAATTTTTCCATAATTCAGCAAATTCTTTGTTTTTTCTCTAATTCAGTTCTCAGCTGCAGGCAGGGCAAAGCACATTAGCTCAATATTGATTTCAGCTTTTGTGTCATTATCGTGCTTTAATTTCATGGTAAAAAAACATGGTAAAAATGAAAAATTACAGCTGTGAGACACAGAGGCTTAAAAATCTTCAGTACTGACTGTTTATGTTCTGTTCATATTTTTCTGATTGCCAAGTTTTGATGATAGGAGGTTATATAGAAGTTATATACAAACTATATAAATTTTATAAACTTTTAATTTTTAAAAGCCTTGAGTGTATTCTCTGTTGATGTGCTATGTTCATATGCATATTTGCCAGGATTTCTGGGATAAAAATATGTTGTCTTGATCGGGACATTAGGTATACTTGCAACGCAAATAGCAAATAAATAATTGCACTGCTAACCTCTACTTGATTGAATTTTAACAACTATCCGAACATCCAGAGACACGTACAGGAGCAGCTGTAGCAGTCTGCAACATGATGAACTTGAACACATTTTAATAAATGTGATGAGTCAGGAGAGTTTTTCTTCCCTAAAATGCAGCAGGGAAGGTTAATATATGTAAAATATATAAAAATATTATATATATAAATACGTACAAATATTTATATAGCTAGGTTTCTGAGCAGTTTTCTTCTGAATAACAACCCTCCTCACACCAAAAGAGCATTTTTCTCACTATTTTGTTTGCTGTGATGGCAGTCTAACCACAATACAAAAGTCATTGTTTGATTCTGGGCAGCATAGCTAGTGCTGTCTCTGTTCCGAGGAACATTGTGCTTCTTGCTCAGTCAGCACTGCATCATGCACTTCCCTGCTGTAATTACATGTTTCAGCATGAAATGTCTTTTTCAGACTCGTGCATCTGCTTTTGGAGGAAATTATAAATTTCCTAAATAGGAGTGGTAGAACCTGAGGTATTTGATTACAGTTGAGGAAGGGCTTGTTTGCTCTCCTTTCAGTAATGATACATGGTAAGAAAATGTCACTCAAATCCTGAGCTGCAGAGTTGGCATGATTCCTTTTGTATACTGTGCTTTATTTCATTGGGGGTATTGTGATTTTTGAGCTGAACCGCTGTCCTGCTGTGGGGAGACGCTGCTGCACAAGCAACCTGATCGTTCGATCCTCATTAGTGCCTGCAATTTGGTTGTGCCGTGGGCCTTCCATAGGCATGTTCAGCCTGATGGTTGAACTAGGCTAATGGGTTCTGAGCATCTGAATCCTTCATTTCAGTGACCTTGACAGAAAAACAATGTGAGCATGTTAACTGAAATCCACTTGGCCTGAGGGAATTAAAGGTCTGATTTAGGCTGAGACTCATAATGACCTTTATACAGGCTATCTGGGAGAAGGGAAAAGATGCAGGTAAAAATTGAATTCATAAATGTTTGACGCCTGCCACTCATTAAATGAAAGCTGCTAACAGAAAGCTGCTAAGTCACTGACCACTGCAGAAAATAATTAGCCAGCGATCTGTCTGGCAGCAGCTGATATGCATTTCCTTGTGAAAGATGATTGGAACCCATTCAGGGAGTAGAGATGCTCTGCTCAAAATAAAGAAGGAAAAGTTCTCTCTTTTCATGATGATAAGTCTAGCTCAGAGATTTTTTTATTTTTTTATTTTTTTTTTTATAGAATAAGGTAATCTTCAAAATACTTTTGAAGACGCTTAGTCTCAAACCATGAAAATGTGAGTGGGCCATTTGACTACAAAATGAGACAGTGCAGAGGGTTACGAGGATTATTGTCACTTTATGTTTAGACAGCTGATGAATCGAACTTCTTAGGGCCGAGTCTAGTCCTTGACATGTGCTTTTAACAAACTAATCAAAAGAAAACTCTGGAGCTGAGTGCAGCAGTTTTATTGGAAAAAGTCCACAGGTGTGTGCAATTCCTTTATTAAAAGATTTTCAAATACATTGGACAAGAAGCAATTGATGATTGAGTTATTCCTTTTTTATACATTTTTTTTATTTCCAAAACTATACAAACATTGGAAAACTTTCATTTTCCTCCATTTCAGCTATTAGTAATTCTGTAATGATAATTAAATATCTCCCATTTCAGTCTGCAAACCCACTTTTCAGGAGTTGACATTTTACATCTTTGACAGTAAAAAAAAAAAAAGTCAGTCATATGTACATGTGCTTAAGGTTGCATAATTGAGCATCATTAGGTGCTGAAAACTAGTGAGTATGTGGGTTTCAAGATTCACCCAGGAGGGCTGAAGGTTCTGAATACACATAAACTGCGTACATATGATTTAGTAGCCAAGACACTCTTTGTTCCCTTTTGTTTTCAAGGATATATATCTGTGTGCTAGCTATGGTTTAAGGGTTTCTTTAGTAAAGGTACTCACGGAGTGAAAAGCAGCACTGGCAACAACTATTGCTGATCAAGGACATGAATGGGCAGAGAACTGTATGCGTATACACAATACAAATATTTCAGAAAGAAGTTCTTATGTAAAAATAATATCTAGAATAAAACCTATTTCTTGGACTGGACTAAAGGACAGGGAAAAGAAAAGAAAAAAAAGCCTTGTGTGAATATAATAGTTCAGCATGGGAGAAGAACAATGTAAACACATGGATTAAATTCAGAAGCTGATCTTGCAATGTATAATTACTGGAAATTCATTTGAAATATAGCAACATTATCGATGGAAAATGAAGGCTACAACTGCAGCAGACATGTACAGTATACTTTATGAGCTATTATATTGGCCATACAGATTTGTCTACATGTTATTTATTTGAATCCTTAAGGCTTCTCTAATGTCTTACATGAAAGTGCTGTCTGCTTGGATCTTCCATGCATGAGGGAAAGGGGACATTTTCCAAGGAAAAAAATATGATTTTTATTCACATTTCAATTACAATAGCACAGCCAGAGACACAAAATAAAAGACAATACTTTATGGTACCTTTGTTTCATTTATTTTGGCCCCCAAAAGATGCATGCACTAGACTTTATGTACTACAAGGTATTGAAATATTTACAGCAATTGTACATGTGCTCTTAAAGGGATGGCAAAGGGAAAGGTCTATTTTTATCTGGATGGGAGTAAAAGTTATTTTCCTAGCTTATTAATACATATTCAAAGTGAGAGATGACTCTTCCAAAAAGAAAAGCCCACAAAGAATAAAGCTATAACATAATTATAGCCAATGTTAACAAACTGTACAGTACTTTACCTGGGAATTCTGCTCTCTGTCACTCCTGTTTTAAATGGCAGCGCCTACTAGTGAGTGATGTTGCCATGCTCCCCTTGCCCTGTCTGCCCTGATTCTCCTTATTCCATCAGGTATAGCTGAGTATTACCTGTTTATGATATTTTTGAGATATTTTAATATGTTGAATGGACAATTAATTCGCAATAACCTGATGGCAATTTCTGGATAAATGATATAATTGGTATTTACTGGGTTATGGCACTAAAGAATTCAGACCACTATAAAGCGCATCCTCAATACTTCAAGTGGACTTTGGGAACCATCTCTCTAAGAAATTCAGTGAGTAAGGCTCGTATCACTGATCTCCTGCTTTTAAAGGTAAAGATATGATACCCAATACACCAAGTTAAACAAACAGAAGGCAGTGGGGAAGAAGATGCGGGCATAGGAGTCCATTTTGGCAATGCGGATGTGTATTCTTCCATGCCTCCATGCTCCTGTTCGACAATCCTCAAAGCAGCAAAAAAAGCTAGCACAGTCCTTGCCATCAAGACACTCATACCCGTATTCTTCATCCCTTTCTTGGAGGTGTGTAGCATTGTTCATTTGAATAGTAGCTGATCGAGGTCGGATGTCAATTGTGGGTGCCTAGGATGGAATGGCAGAAAAGAAAAAGACGGCAGGAGGGAGACACTCTGTTATTATCACCAGACCAACAGGAAACAGAAATTAATGGTCAACATGGGAATGATGGTTCTACAGGGGTACATGGGAGACTGGTAATATTACCTTGAACTTAAAAATCAGCTTAAATCAATTGCATCATACACTAACTTTACAGGAAAGCAGCACAAATCAAGATCAAGTTGACAGCTGAGGACAGTTAGCTTTAATGCCAGACTAAGTAAACCATAGAGGTTAAAAGAAACAGAACTGATGATATTTGGAATTGTTTCTGTTTTATACTTCATGTAACTTCCTGATATATGAAGGCAATTCGGGTGTTGAGCATGGGTGGAACGAAAATAATCAGTTGGAAATGCAGGATTATTTGTGTTACTGGGCTGGCTTGTGCAAATATATATATATGGAAAAAAGGCACAATTAAAGTATTTTTAGTAAGGTTATGAAAATCTTGGTAAGACTCTCCAATAGTTAATTTGAATGTATGCAGTTCATCTATTAGTGTTCACCAACTGGAAGATTCATCATGTACCCAACTTTATATGGCAGGCATACATTTATTTGAGTGACTTGAATGAGCTATGCATCTAAAATGCTGTTAAGCACTGGTGAACATTACTATGATGAGTCTTAGAATTTGCTGCAGATTGTGTAAAATAATTATAGTTTCATTCCATGAGCATGTACAATTCTTGGCTTTCATTTTACAATGGTTCTTTGTTTTGGACAAAATCTCTGCATTTCTGAATGAAGATAAGATTTAGACATATTACAAAGTTAGATATATTTGCTAATTTTGCTAAGAATGTGTTGGTCAAGTGTCAGCATTAAAAAATATGTGCATCTTAAACCCTTTCAAAACTCTGACTTTTTTTTGCATAAGGAACAGCATTTGAGTGATTGATGATAACACTGAATTTCATTCATGTCAATATCAAAACAAATTTAGTTTCATCATTTGAAGTTAAGTCATAAATTGAGGGATCAGATCTGAGTTCTAAAAGGGTGTATTGCGGTTTCTGGTGTAGCTGGTGGCATTGGATCCCATGGGCAATTAACAAAGAGAGAAGCAGAAATACTTTGAACAGAAACTCTCTTAATTCATGCGATCCAATAATGTTGGTCACTCTTGAACTTAGTGTAAGTTCAAAATCATAGTGAATCAATAATTGGGCTGCTGAATCAACTCTACGTATTATTTAGAGAAGCATAAACATTCTACTTAATTAGGAAGTTACCTAGAGTAGAATGCTTAGATGTCTAATTTAAGAAAACAAACAAAAAACAGCACTCTCATATATGCTCTAATAGTTAAATTCAGCAGTCGCATGCAGTGAATTTCCATTCCAAAAAACATTATACCTTGAACGAAAAAATATTTTTATTTTTTTATAAAAAAAAAAAAAAATTTTTTTTTTTTTTTAAAAAAAAAAAAAAAAAAAAAAAAAAAAAAAAAAAGAAAAAAAGAAAGAAAGAAAGAGAAAAAAATAATGTAAATTAAAAATATGTTTCTAAAACATAGTAAGTCAAAAAGAACTAAATTTATAGAAAGTTTGGGGTAACAGCCATTTAAACAAGAATCTATGCTATGAAACCCACATTTCTTTATCTTATCTCTGACTTGTAACTACATCCAGACCAAAGACAAAGTGTATCAAACTCCATTTAGATCTTTTCATATTCTCAAGGTATTCCTGTCTTTTATGTTGAACTGCTTTGAAAGAAGAGACAATTCAGAGCTTATGAAAGCAAATTTTAGGAAAAGCTACCTGAATACAGAGTACTGAAGACTCTACTTTTAAGTTTTCTAGACTCTAGGTTTAGATTTGGAGAATTGTTATTTCTATTTGTCCCAGGATTGTCCCAGATAAAAAGTGTAAAGAGCAACTAATCTCTAAGCAAGGTAAATAGATCTGAGATAGTTAATCTTTGCTCTCTTAATTGTCTGTGACACAGGTTCTCATAAGCAGCCATTTATTTCAGCCTAAGACAGACATATGTGCCACCATCCAAAAGTGCTTTTTGATCTAAACACACCTATGATGAAATCCAAATTCACCACACCTGAAGTAATGTGAAAATTCTTCCTGTGTAGTCTTACGGATGTTTAGCTGGCTGTTTATCCACTGCAGTGTATATCTGTAATTTTAAGAGTGTATTTCTCATCAAGCTTTAAAATTGAAATTATGACAAGTAAGTGTAATGAAAACTAGTTTAATTTATATATTTTACTATTTTTTTTCTTTCTTGCAAGCTTGCTTGCTTCTGTGTAACTAAGAGAGAATATCTTAAGGACTTTAGCAGAGCAAATCCAGACACTTTCATTATTTCCTACATGCCTGAAGTGGATTTGAAAATATTCTTAACTAATATAAAACACTTGTGTTCGTCACATCTTGCAGATGCATATTTGATTTTTCTTTGAAGAAGATTAGGCTGCTTTTGTTCCCTGTAGTATTCTACACTCATTCCTTTCACCTCACAGTTTCTAGACAACACACTTCTCAATCAGCAGCAAAAGGCAAGAAGTCTGCCCTGGACAAAATAAGACAATACTTTTTCCCTACCTAAGCATACTCTTAGAAATCTCCTAAGGGTATTCCTGGGTCTTCTCTTTTTACTGTGGTTATTATATACATTATTTATTATTGTGTAGCATGCATCAATAAGTAACATTGCCAATGCTGATAAATCACTTTCAAAAGGAGAGAAATACATAATGGAGAGAGAGAATACAAGAAAAAGAAGATAAGGAAACAATAAAAAGGAAACAGGTGCTTACGGGGGAATTAGAAAGAAAGCACAGTCCATAGTTTGAACGTAACGTTACAAAAAGCAGAATCATGCCAATAATACATATGTAAGTTAATGGCAGAGAATATTGCTAAAGATAACAAAGAGACACTGAGAGTTCTTCCATGGCGGTCATAGTAAAAGCTCTATCTATAACATAAATAACAATTTCATTGATAGTTATTTGTAGAACAATTTGGCAAAAAGGGTCCTTGTTTTAAGACATTTGTTTCTCTGCTGTCTAGACAACTGTGATATATGCATTCTTAATTATCGAGGTAAATGATTTTATTCCTATTAATACAGAAGTGTAGATATGCTCAAATGAGAGTACAGGCATAGAGAGAAGATAAGTATTCCTTCAGATAATGTAATTTAATTTTATACCTCACTGGTAAAAAGATACATACTGGATTTTTCTTCTTTTTGTCTTTATCCTTGCTTGGCTTTCTGTTGCTGACAAAGTAGTGCAAAGTTCCGTATTCCACCAGTGCAGAGAAAACAAAAATAAAGCAAACTGACACAAAAAGATCCATTGCTGTCACATAAGAGACTTTTGGAAGAGATTTACGAGCAATCGTACTTAGGGTGGTCATTGTCAGGACAGTTGTAATACCTGGTAGACAGACAGAAAACATCAGAAATGTTATAACTTCATGTAACAAAGCCATGCTGCCATTTCTCTCTCTGACTGTTTCTGAAGGATGCCAGCAGTTCTGATAGAGAGCAAAAATATCAACCCATCCCAAGCAGTGAAATGTGGATTCAGTGAGAGCTTCAAGGATGAATAGGGAGTGTGAATCATTTTTGCATAGTCATTGCAAGTGTTGCCCTGCTGATGGATTCTAATTTTAAAAAATGTATTGAATTCAGCTTTGTTGCTTTATAGTTTTGCTTTTAGGTATCCATTTTTCATTTCTAATTGAGAAATGCAGTTTTAGGGTTTATGTTCTTGAATCCCGAAACTGATAGAGAGAAAAGAACTTTTTCTAACAGAGTGAGAGGTCAGGTGGAGAAAAAAATATACCTGTCACTTTAATCCATTCTTTGAAGTACTCCAAAGGCTAATATAAAAGGCTCTAAATATAAATATAATATAATTTATATTATGTATTATAAATAATATATTCTCATCTATTTATTATATATTATAAATAATATAATAAAAATATAATATAAAAGGCTCTAATATAAAACTTTCCATGCTGTCCAGCATGTGTCATTTATGGAATTCATATCAGTAATGACAATAATGCCAGTAAGAAATGTATTTACAGCCATTATATGATTTAGAAATTATGAAAATTCTTAAGGAAGCCTGTAATCCAGATGAAAATTCAGATCAAAAAGTGTATTTATTTGTATGTGTACTGTGTAAACGAGACTTTGTTTCCTTTCTCTTATTTTTAATGCATTCTAGTTGTAAGCAAATGATACTAGCCCCAAATTTCCACACTAATTCTCTGTTGCTGCTTATTTAAGTGATTTCTTGCAAATAAAGCTGGAAGAGAGTCTCTCAGGACTGTTTACAATTGTCACGCTGTGAGGTCAGATTTCTCTCAGTAGTGCCTCCTCTGGTTTTCAGAAGTGACTGTAGCTCATAACTAAAAAGTATTAGGACAGGCCTCACCTTCCCTTCTCCTTTCAGAACATTATTGCCTGTGATGTAAATAACATTAAAAATGCACCAGAACGGCTAAAATTCATCATATTTTTATGGCAAATTTCATACCACTGATTTTATCTTAGAGGTATGAATAGCCAAATTTTCAGCAGAGAGACAAGTCTGCATTGTACGTCTAAGCAAAAACAAAAATAATAGCTGAATGCCTTTATTCATTTTATACTTTAAGGCACATTTTCTTGTTTCATAGAGTGAAAAAAAAGCAATAAAACACTTAAAGCATTATGCGTTTGGGCTGTTGGTCCTCTATTCCTCTATTTCTTTCAAGGGAAATCTGTAATGAAAATGCTGACCCTCCCTGCAGTGCTCTATTCTGTAGTTCTTGAGGAAATGAAAATGCAGAAGGAAAAACTAAAATGATTCTTAGTAGCACAGGTTTAATTCAGAAGTAGAAAACAGTGTTTTTTAATCTCCTCAGTTTGGTTTCCACTCTGCTAGCTCTTACAGATGCAGCTGGTTTGTGTGAGCAGGCTGAACTCGGTAGCTCCTTCATTCGTGTCAGAGCTGCTAACTGTGTAGAAAATGCTAATTCAGATAAATTGCATTTCACTTTTTAGATATAGGCAAATTCAGTTGATTTTTTGGTCCGAAGGACATATTTGACCTTTGGAGCTTCAAGCTGAAGGCTGGTACCGCATTCTTTTTACCACTGCGTCACACAGCCAGAGGGATTGCTTCATTCATGGTATGTATTTCATTCTTTTTGATGTTCATTAAAAAAATCAAAAAAGGTAATCAGAAAAGATGCAAAAGCTTTTGGAGATGATCGTCAGTACTCCTAGTTAGGTTGTGACATGGTAAAATGGAAGAGAGACAAATATGGTCTAAGTGCTGTTACTCTTTGGAAGTGATTACATTATTCTAAACAGGGGGAACTTGTATTAAATTCTCCCCTCTTGCATTTAGAAACTGGTGTCAGTTTAACATCATAATGCTGAATAAAAGCAGGAAAGTAAAGCAACTCACCCAGTGATGTTCTGGCTGGAACTGCATCCTTGTTAATCCAGAAGGAGACCCAGGACAACACAACAATAAGTGTGCAGGGAATGTAGGTCTGAATAGTGAAATAACCCATTCTCCTGCTCAGGTTAAAGTAAACAGACATGACTACATAGTCTCCTGTAAAATAAAAAGATACTGAAGTAGAATAATATGTTAAATAAGTTCGTAGAATTTCTAGATGTTGGCTAGAACTTTCCTATTCTATGTCTGTAGTATATATGAAAGACATGCGTGTTCACTTATGCAGCTTGAACTTCAGATTTCAAGGGTAATCTCTTTTGCATAGCACAGCAGGCTTCTAATTTACCACTTCATTCATCACATCTTGCAGATGTATAGATATTTCTCTTCAGGATTCAGGAATAAAGCAAAGCTCTGGATTTTGATGTATTTCTTCTAAGCTAAAAAAAAAAACAAAAAACAAAACAAAAAAAAGCCCTGGATCTCATCTTTGCTTCAGATTACAGCACTTCTGGGAAATCTTGATTGCAAAAGAACTGCAAAACCCCAGGCTGCAAAAGACTTCATTGCAATTCTATGAAATGCGGTCTAGAGATAATTCCCAAACTCAAATAGAAGGTTTGCAAATCCAGAGTGAGATGCTTTCCTGGAGATACCCAAAAGGCTCTATGGCTAGTATGCATTCTGTTTAGATCAGTACTGCTCCTTAACAGAGAAAGTTCTGTTTTCAGATGTAATGAAAATGTTAATTTGCCCACCTTTGAACTTAGTCACAGAAGAAGCTTCAAAGTTAATTTTTCAGCTGGTGTGGCTTTTTTGTTGTTGTTGTTATTTTTTCCCTCCAATATGAATGTCTGTTTACAAGGGATTAATTGGTTTTTAATTTCATTGCATTATAAGGAAACTAGAAACTTTAAAAAGCAACTTATGTACTTGGGATTTACAAGATCTGGTTGAGCATGAGCAACCAGTTTTAACAAGTAGATGTCATCTGATTATCCCCTCAATTCACAGAGAAACTTGTCTTGTATGTTTGTGTCATTGCGCTAAGCAAGACATTGACCAGGAGCACAAGAACTGGAGCCTGTCTCATTCTTCATCTCTGTGGTACATCTACTGACTTCTTGGAAAGTGTCTATTTTATCAGTTTGGGCAACCAATTTCTTAACATAGGTTTTTCAAAACCACTTATTTTTTTTCCTATTTTCCTCTTCTGTATTATTGTAGAGATCACTTAAAAGCAGTACTTGTGTTACTTCAAAGTGAACAGTCTCAGAGAAAAGGCTGTCTTCAAGTTTAGTGTTACTGTATTGCTTTAGTGAATCAACAAATTACCAGAAAGAAGAGGTGGGAAATATGAAGCCAAAAGCATGTGACAACATAAGAAGTTAGAAAAGATTAGCTCAGAATTGAAACAAAATTTGGTTGTTTTCTCTCTGCTCTTGCTTCTTTTTAAGTTCCAGCTGCAGTAGACCATCCTGGGGAGTAGCTGAGCAGATATATCAGATCTGAGCTAACTACTTCTTTCATATATTTTGCCCATAATGTTTGTCCTGTAGTTGGGCACGTCTGTTTGCCTGTTTTGTTGGTTTTATACTCTTGCTTTGTAGGTTCTTTTACTCAAAAGAACAAAAAATATCGCAATTAAGTACAGAAGCCAGCACTACTGCTCAAAGGTGTTAGAGCCAAATCCACAACTCGGCACCAGTGCTGAAAAAATGAACAGTAAATCCATCTGACCCAGACTGGGGTGTGCTGCAGAGACTTCATACAGAGACTCCTTCTTCAATAACCATGTGTGCAACCGCACCAAGTGGTGTGAATAACACACAAAAATGCGTTTATATCAGGGAGAGGAAGCGACTCCAATCTTTCAGTTTTTTAGGTGATTTTCACAAATACTATTTCACTGTTTTCCCTAGGAAACCTGGTGGAGATTATCAGTGAGATTTATTTAGATTTTTATTTTGATGGAAGTCGTTTTTTGTTTTTTTTTTTTTTGAATGGTGAACTATTGTACTGATATTTTTACAATTACGCATTTATTTAAATTTAACACATATTTTGTCAACAATGTAATGCATACCAGGTTTTAAAATGCTAACTAACGTGTGAAGGTCTTGGTCCATTCCACAGCAATGAGTCATTACTTCGAAATCTCTGTCATCTCAATGACATGCTCTGAGGACAGTCCATTTACACAGGGCAACAGCAGTATCCCAAACACAAAGCTTTTGCTACTGGAGACAATCCAAGTGGAAGGAATTTATATATAATTTAACACAATTCCTTCTGCTTTTTTTTTTTTTTTTTTTTTTTTTTTAATACTGACCTTAACCAATTTAGAAATAGCATATTTCTGCTAGTGTGTTCTCAAAATTAGAAAGTGATGTAATTGTTCTAGATAATGCTCATTTCCCATAAATGTTATTGGACTTTTCATCATGCAAAGCCTGTCTTTCTTATTGCATCTGTACATAAAAAATTCCAGCCACTCCAGAACAATATTTAATGGAAATTCTTTTTGTCAGTTTCTGATACTTGTAGCAAAGCCCACAGCACTGTTTTGGCAGACCTTATTTCACACCTTGTATAATCTGAAACATTCTACAGAAAGCTCAACTAACTAAACCCCTATATACTTAACAAGCTTTATGGTTTTTACAAACTGAGCAGTTGAAGCAGAGGAAGTCAGGACTTGAATATCCGATATAACTTGCCCAGCAGCATGGAGATTACCAGTCAGAAGAACTATTTAAGTATATGTAAATTCTTTTAAATTACATGTTGCTTTCTAATGTGAAAGCCTACTGGTGCTATAAATGTTGTTGTGCTGTGGAGTAAATACTACTACTTCAGAGAATCTTACTAGAGAAAGGAATAACATTAAAACCACAAAGATAAATAATTTTTCCTTATCTTGCTTTGTTCTGATTTTGGGAAGTGGGATGTAGAGATGATTTTTTACCAGTATATGACAGGAAAGGCTGTGAGACAAGGCAAGCCAATAATTCTGTAATGTATTGAATATTTCCTCCAGCCTTTGAGTAATATGAACAATTATAAATAAAGCAGTAAGGAAAACAAGATTGCCCCAAAGAGGCATGATGCTAAATGTTGCCTTTATATGTAATGGTGCAATGTGCACAATGTAACGGTGTAAAAGCAGGACTTTGAGATGTGTGGTTTAAAATAAGGCAAGTAGTCTGGAAATAATCAAATACGTAATGCTATAGAAGCATACAAAGTAATGCAAGACCAAACATGTGCAATTTAGGACCTAATACCAGTTGTCGTAAGATGTACATCCAAAAGGTAAAGCGTATTAAGTCCTCTGTGAGACATGGACTTGGCAGCATTTTGCTTTAATCCCACTTTTCATGACTTAAAACCATAGCCTCTTAAAATGGATTCTTGCCTCACTGCTGTTTTTATCCATATTTGTTTTATTTCTGACTTTATTCATGGTCTTCTCTGCTCTTCAGCTGGGGCCAGCTTAAACACTTTGTTATTTTCAGATTATCTCTGTGCCTGAGGTGATTTTCACTCCTGGTGTGATGCCTGCATGAAGCTGTCAAGCTAAGACACTATTTTAGTAAAAAATGACCAGAATTGATACTTAGCACAGTGTTATTCACTAGTTCTCACTTGGTAAATTGTTATTTTTTTTTCATTATTACCTCATCCTTGTTCCCTGAACTCTGATTCTTGTCTATCCAATGTTGCATACTGCGGCTACAGAGATTCTCAGACTGCCAGATGGCTGTTGGGAAGACTGATATACTTTTGGACTTTTTTGGAAATGAATGATAATGTAACCTGGCAGCTTCTCTGCGACACAGCATACCTACATATTTAACATTTGGCACTATAATTAGATAATTATTGGATTATTTTAGCCTTTCACTAGAGATATTACAGTCTTACTCTTTCTATGGTTTATATACATTATTATATATGTTTAGAAAACACCTAGTGTTTTTTACTTGTAAAGAAATACAGTATTTCTCTGGCAAAAATAATCCTCTTACATTGAAGAGCACAAGTCATTCTTAATATATTTACACATCATTTCTCTCTCCCCTCCACCCTATGAATATGTATATATCTTCCATTCCTCTATGTCAGTATATATGGATAGCTAGATGTAGTCTACAGATATGATAATCAGTTCAACCGTTTCTTCAGCAACATGTATTTGAATTTTTAACCAGAATGCAGTCTCTTGGGAAAGTGTTCTTCAGATCACGCTTATATTCATGTACAAATACTCATCACATTTTCTACTAAGTGCATATTCCTGTTATTTATTTTCTGAAGAGCAGGAGACATGAAGCAGGATTCTGACTTCAGGCACAGCCTCTTCATGATGCTACTTCTAATTGGAAATAGGGATTTCTCTTGGTGGCAAAAATCCTTGTTACATATAGAGAAAGTGTGTGGGCTTAAATTCACATCTATAGAGCAAGAGATATTTTGAAATGGAGATCAATTTTCCATCAGTGTCAGATGATCGTGACTTCTGTGAGCCCTTACAAGAGGATTTTTTTTCAAACAGTCCTATACCATTCTAATATACACAGACTCAACGCTTGGAGTGGGAACTTGAATCTCTTCTTTCCATATACTTGTGTAATACAGCAATTTGAGTACTCAGATTCTGGCTCTGTTAGACATAAGGGGAAGTGAATTCCTGATTTGAGGAACCATCTGTGCGTACGTCCTGGCCTAATTCCCAAAGGTTCAATAGAAGGAATTAGTTGTGCCAGGAAGTGTAGCCAGGGGGAGATGTACATTGCACTTAGTTGATTTAATCAGCACAGTGGGTGTGATCCTTCACTACATCCCGCTTGTGGAATCAGTTATACCTGTGCAAAGTGGGGGGGAAATTATACCTACTAGTAATGCATGTTTAAGTGACTGTGCAATGTGTGAGGTGCTGGGGCAACAAGACTCTAATTTGTTCTCTAAACCTATTTGGAAGCTGGTACAAATGCTAGAGAGAAGAACAGCTTTCTATCGCAGGGAATTGGTGTCTTAATTATAGTTCAGGTAGCAACACTTACAGCTCAGATTGCCTCACTATTATTATAGGATCCCATTTTCTGTTGTTTTAAACCACAAGTTTAGATTATAAAAAAAAGTTCAGAAGAGCTTCATAAATGTTATGTTAG